AACCTCCCACACATCAAGTTTTTAAAATCTGGAAAGTTCAGGGCCTTATTGAATTTTGTTTTCTGCTCTGATTTATCAGAATGCTGCACTGGACTCTGAGGTTCCACCTTGAGCAGCTTGAAATCCCTAAAACCAAACATTTTCCAAGGCACTGTGGAATTTTGAGCAACCTGCCCTTAGAAAATGATCCCTAAGTCTTTTTAAAACTATTTTGGAGGTTTAATTTTATCATAAGCAGTAAATTCTTTAAATACACTTCAGATGCATTTATGAGTTTGTGTGGCAAAGAGCACAGAAAAGAGAACTCATATTTTCATTTTGGAATTCAATCGTTGCTCCCATGTGCAGCCAAGCAAGTTCCACCAGCTGGGTGAGAGCAGCATTTCCATGCAGTAGAAACAGAGGCAGACATTAATATATATGAAATATATTCAGAAAACATGAAATAATGCTAAAACAAATCTTACTTTGACTCAAGCTTACTTCCCATTGCCAAGAAAAACACAACTGGGTTGATTTTCCACAAAAAAGTTGGCAGTAAATCAGCATTTCATGGCTCCAATTTGACAAGAAAATTTTTAATAAAAATGCCAGGGTAGTACCCTTTACATATTTGTAGTATTTGATGGAGACTTTTTGGAAGATTATTGTTTTCCAAGAGATTCTAGAAACAAACCCTTTTTTTTACCAGTAAATGAGTGTATATTTGTAACTCAAACCTGGAGCAGACGAGTTGTATTAGTCCTAGAGGATATAATTGCATTTGTATTTTTTCTGCTGAAAGCTTTTAACACACTTTTCAGGCAAAATCAAAACCTCTTTTTTTGCTGCAGATGAGAAAAAATGTTGACAGCACAAAGGAGTTCTGCTGCCCCCCACCCCAACCAATTTTGGCTCATGAATGTGCCTTTCAAGCAGCAAAAAAAAGGGAGTGATTTGTCTTTGAGGAAAGCAGATTCTGTGAATATTTCAAGGCTGGATAAGTATTCTTTAATTTCTTGAGTTAGGGATAAAAATTTCTAAAATTCTGCATCAAAATGCTGGGTCATCCACTGAGAGAAATACAGAGATGGAGTGTGCCAGTGAATGATATAGGAAAACATACACACTGTAAGTATCATTACAGGTAACACTGGCTTAATTAAAATAAAGAGGGTAATTTTCAAAGCTGCAGGACAGATTTAGGAGTCTTGCTTCATGAGAAATGTGGATTTGCTTTCCTTAGCTGATACTGGTCTTCATGCTGGCTTTTAACATTTCTGAATGCTTACATGAGTTACTTATTTGGGTGGAGAAGAGGCCAAGTGAAAATGTCATGCTGGGCAGAAAAAAGTTTCAGGTTGAAACCAATAGGGCAGGGCCAAAAAAATTAATGAAGGTGATCTTTTTCTAAATTCCCAACTAATGGTAGCTGTGGAGGTCAGGGGGGTTCAGGTAGGGTCAGAATGGGAGGGAGCTTCAAGGGCTTCTTTGGAGAGGTATAACCACCAAAACCCTGGAGCCCTGACTTTAAACCTAAACCCCACTCTCATAATCCAGCTCCTAATCCCACTAAGTTTATCATAGAATCATAGAATGGTTGAGGTTGGAAGGGACATCAAAGCTCATCCAGTTCTATGGAAAGGGACACCTTCCACTATCCCAGGCTGTTCCAAGCCCTGTCCAACCTAACCTTGGACACTTCCCTGTGCCAGGGCCTGCCCACCCTCCCAGGGAACAATTCCTTCCCAGTATCTAATCTGACCCTGCCCTCTGGCAGTAGGAAGCCATTCCCTGTGTCCTGTCCTACCATCCCTTGACCTGAGTCCCTCTCCAGCTCTCCCGGAGCCCCTTTAGGCACTGGAAGAACTTGGAGGTCTCTCTGGAGCCTTCTCTTACCAGGTGAACATGCCCAGATCTCTCAGCCTTTCCATCCCTTTAATCATCTCCATGGCCCTTAAGAAGGAGATGGCGGCCCTCAAAAATGAGAATTTTAGGAATGCAACAAAATAATGCTTCAGATTTAATGATGGGAGTTGTTTTTTCAGGAGTCACCAATTGTAGAAATTAAGTTATTCTTTAATTTCAGCCTGGAATGTGCAGATAGTGAGCACAATATCGCACAATGATTCTAATGTCATTGGTGCTTATTCTTGTTTATTGAATTTTGGGTCAATTCCATGGTAGTTTGGTGCATATGAATGAGAAACTTAAGGCAGATTTGGTGTCCAGCAGGCACCAAATGCTCTGCTCCCACTAACAGAGGTGTGAGAGTCCAAGAGGGTGACTGATCCTTCTCAGGAAGAGTGTAAAATCCAAAGCCAACCCCAAAATTATAGACAGTGTGAATGAAATAGATCCAGCAGGTCTTGCTTTCACCTGCTCCTCTCACACCAAAGCCCAGGCTGATGGAACAGCCACAGCCCACGGTTCTGTCTTCACCTTCCAGGGAAACTCAGAATTGAAGGCTCTGGCTCTATTTACAACATTAAAATAGAAACCAATTCCCAAACCAACAGCCTATTTCTTTTTTCTGCAAAACAATCTCCACAACTACAAGCCCTTGCTGATTAGAGGAGAAGTGTTCTGCAGTGTGTGAACAACACACAGCATGATGCATCTTCATTACCAAAATTCACAATGACGATCATTTATCATAAAAGCTGCTGAAAATGGGCATTAATCTCTGAGTAAAGCAAGGAGGAAACTCTGTGCTCTGTTCTCATGGCAGAGGAATTCATTTAGTACCTCTCATCTATGCCTGGGCGACTGGGAATTCTCTGGGCAAAGCAATTGCAGTCCTAGCAGTGTGGATTTTGGGGGGTAGAATGTGGAAGTCTTTTGCTTGGATGTGGAATCCAGAGGTGACCACACTGATGGCAGAGAGTGCCTGTGTTTCACGCAGTCCAGAGCAGCTTCCCTCCCATCTTCAATTTCGGAAGGAACCTTAAATACCTCCCATCCCACCCCCTGCCATGGGCAGGGACACCTTCCACTATCCCAGGCTGCTCCAAGCCCCAATGTCCAACCTGGCCTTGGACACTTCCAGGGATCCAGGGGCAGCCACAGCTTCTCTGGGCACC